ATCTTTGGTCTCTATCGGGCCAATATGGCATGCTGCTAGTGAGAGAACCTGTTGTTAAAATATTTGAATCCCACCACTGCAGTCAAGTCCCGCTATTCGATCATGCAAGAGTAGTTCAAGAATTGGCGATTGGTGCTTTTGGTTAGCTGCATTATATCTAGTCTATCAGTTTAAAATTAAGGGCAAGTAGCTCTTTGTGTAACTTTGTGTGAAAAATCTGAAACACTGAAGGTCATTGAATGTAAAGGCTGGGGGAGAGTAATGTCGTGGACTTCTTCAATGAAACATCAATTTGAAATACAACCGAGACAGTCTTAAAATTAAAGTTTTTGCTTTCATAAAATTAAGGAAGATAAGGATTAATTTATCACTAAATATTGTTTGGCGTTATACGCCTTCCTTTGACAACATATAATATTTATTTTTTATCGTCAACGGCTCTAAGGGGGAGGGGGGGAGGGGTTCTAAAGTATTTTTCAAGTTCGCCAATTTCGGTTCGGTTTGTTTTATAAATCAATCTACCCAGTTCCAACGCAGGGTAACATGGGGGCCCACAGAAATATTTTCAAGAGGAGCTGCAAAACATGTATGTACGGGATCAGCTTTTACCGTCAACAGACTAAAGGGATGTGTGTTATGTGTGCTTAAAAGCAAACACAAATTTAGAGTTTTAATAAAATTACTAAAACTATTTAGTTTAACTACGATGTTAAATTTATACCATAATACGTGCAACTTTTTGTGAAATGTAGGGGGCAAGTGCCCCTCTTGTCTCTTCCTTCAGGCACCCATGCAAGGTAAAGTTGTTGAACAGATTAATACTTAAAGGAAATATATTTTCTTTTAATTTTTCAGTTTTATTGTACTAAGTTTGTACTTTTATTTTTTAATAAAATTACTAAAAATATTTAGTTTAACTACGATGTTAAATTTATACCATAATACGTGAATTTTTTTGTGAAATGTCAGGGCGCAAATGCCCCCTCTTTTCCTTTCCTGCGTGCACCCATGCAAGGTAAATTTGTTGAACAGATTAATACCTAAATGAAATATTTTTTCTTTTTCAGTGTTAATGTACTTAGTTTGTACTTTTATTTTTCAATGTTAATGTACTTAGTTTGTACTTTTATTTTGCAGTGTTAATGTACACTGAGTGGTCACAAGTAAGTAGACACCTAATGTTTCGTCATTTAACTGATTTATGCTAACTAATTTGTGTTC